TAGAGGGCGCCACACCAGTCACGTGACCTCGATGACGCAACAGTATACAATAGGCTATCTTTGCTCACCTCGAGTATTGAAACCTGGTTTCTAGCGTTGTAAGTCCGCAGACTTTGTCAATCTTGTTCTATATATGTGATAACTTATGTTGTCTTTTATCTTGTATTGGAAATTGGCAAAATTCTTACAAGTTTCTGGAAATCTATTAAAATCAGTTAAACAATTCTGGATCCAAGAATTGGCAAAAAAAAAGAAGAATAAATCCTATATGAGAGACATAAATTCTTGAATCTCAGGACAAATCCTGGAAAATGGAAACACTGAGTACATTATGATCGTAATGTTTTTCTGTTGGGCGAATTCTTTTGGATTATCTGGTAAAAATAATGCGAAAGCCGGTCCATATAACAATAACAATTTAGTTTATTTCTTCCTTAACGTTTGTTGCCGGTTACTTTAACTTGTATTTGTAGTTGCAACCGTAAGTGCACAAACAACGTTTCAACAGAATTTCCAAGACTAATAGCATGTCTAATTCATAAATATGTAAATTTACTTACAGAATATTCAGGCTAGTCATTCAAATAACTAAATATACTTAATAAATCTCACTTCTAACACTAAACTGTGAACAACTTTTCTAGCACCGACCTCATAAACTAACTGAATACTCGTATTATAAATAATCTATCCACGATTCTTAGTAATTTAAGGGATGGTTAGGGTGCTCGGCTCGCTCTTTCAGTCGTCGGGCCGTTATAACGTCACGATCAATCCTACTATTTGTTGGTAAAAGAGTAGCTCAAGAATGTTGACTAGCTGCTCTCCCTCTTGTCTGTCGTGCTAGATTAGGGAAGACTAGCGCAGATAATCTTCGAGTAGTTTTTCGCGAAATTCAAAACAAGCCTAACCTAACGCTTCTAGATGTTAGAAGAAGCTTCTCGGTTATTATATCATCATCGCTGGCAATTCCTTCTGAGAAACAACTAAATTATAAAATTGAAAATGTAGCTTATAACACTATGAAACTGGTACAACCATTTCTAATGCAAAAAGACAAAATAAATGAATTGAAAAACGAAAATTTTGAATTATTTCGTTGTTTCTCTTTATAATATATTTTCTGATTTTGTTATAATATGATTTTTTTATTAAAAAATTAATTCGAGAGTATTTGCGATATTCATCATGCTTTTATATCAATGTAAATCATAACTGAACATATTTTCTACTTAGCGTTCCAATGAAATTGTCTTTAATGTTTTAGTACTTTTTCCTTCTCTTTTTTTATTGTTATTTATTGGAGGAACTAAAAATAAGACTTGGTAATTCTTATGTCACTCTAAACTCTTATTCGTAGGCCTAAATTTGTTAAAATTTCTCGTACAGAGTGAAAATGGCGCCGGATACAACATTAAGTAAGTAAAGTAATGTTATATTTTGTTATAAAGAGTTTTATTTCTGGCATGCCTTTTTTTTCATAAAGAAGTAAGGCTAAAATTTATACTTCTGCATTTAGAATTAAATAGAACCTTGATCCAGTAGTGTCATTGTCTGACTCAATCATGTTAATGTACTACTACTAGTACTAGGCTTGTGAGATGTGAAAATGAAATTTTATAGATTATAAGTTAGTATCAGTGCTATCACCGTACAAACTGCAAATACAATACAGACGCTTACAATATTCAGTTAGAATTTTAGCTGTTTAAACTTTAAATTAAGGTTGTATTGTAACTTAATGCAGTTTTTAAAGTTTCAGTATCCTTTGCCATGCCAATTCATTTCTTAATTTCTACATAAGATTTACTAGCAGACATTATTAAACTTCCCAGATAATTAAACGTTACCACTTATTTTATAGTTTTACTATTTATGATTAGTTCACACTTTGGGACATTCTTTTTTGCTTACAAGTTACATTACAATTTACATGAACTCTACTTGTTTTCTACTACTAGTATTAGTATTAGTTGAAACTTCTCTTTTCAGTCTGTTATGAGCACTGTATTACCTGCATAAAATAGGTTATTTATGTTATATCCCCCATATAGATTCAACAAGTCTGGTGAGAAAACAAAACCTTGCCAAACTCCTCTTTTGATCTTTGTATACCTGCTCATTTCATCTTCATTCTTATTCCTTCTGTTTATTCCCAATAGAGATTTTATATAATTCTAATGCCTATTCTATCTAGGTCTAATTCCTGGAGAATCTGTAGCAATTTTTCTTGCTTTGTTTTGACTAATGCTTTTGTGAAATGTAGGTAAAGATCTTTCTGTATCTCAATGGCTCATTCAGAAAACATTCCGTGTTCCATTGTTCTGTACAAATCCACATTGTTCTTTGCCTATTTCAAGTTTTTTACTTCCTTGAGCTCTTAACATAATATTACGCATAATAACTTTTATTATGTGACTTGTAATGTTTATGATGTAATTCACATTTAGTTGTACCAGGTTTCTTTTAGAAGTGCAATGAAAATTGATCTACTTCGATCTTCTGGAATTTAGACATTGCCATAAGTTTCATTTATCACCTCGGCTTGTTCCTGATACCAAAGTCGTCAAAAGCTTGTATAGTTTTGGCTGCAATACGATTTGCTTCTGTTGCTTTGTTTCTTAATAAGAGTTCCATCCTTTGATCTTATGCACTCTCTTGATGTACATGTCTTGAAATCTACAATATACTTTATTTTCTTGTGCATTAATGCTGGGACTGTAGATTTTGATTTTTCTATTTGTGCACATTCACCATTTAGCCATTTTTCTTTTGCCTCCTTACATTTGTTCTTGATTTGCTTATCTATTTGCTGATAGCTATCACTATCTATTTGCATTATTTTTTGTCTTTCTGTCATTAGTTTCAAAACCTCTGCAGTCATCCATTTGTTCTTATTCTGTTTTTCTCTTTGTTGGATGCCTTCTTTAGCTATTTTGACAAAGGATAAATATTTCCTATTTTGTTTTGTCCTTGTGTCTAGTACTTTGAATCTATTCTTCACAGCAATTGCATACTTGTTCTTCATGTCTGGATTGTTGTAGAGGTTGTTCCGTTGTAATTTTGGTTCTTTTTGTAGGTCATTTTAAAGTTACTATAAAGTTGTATGTGACTGAAATATCATTACTCCCAAAGCCAACTCCAGGATGACTTTTTGGTTGGTGAACAGCATTTCTAAGTTGTTTATTCATAGTGATATAGTCAATTTGATTATGAACATTATCTTCTGGGCTTTTCCAAGTTTAAAGAAACCTTAGATGTTCTTTAAACCAAGCATTTGGATTATCTGATTATTGACTTTGTACCAGGCTACCAATTTTTCTTCTCTCTCATTCCATGTTCCTAATCCATGACTTCTAATGACAACTGATCCTTAATTTCTAATCTTGGCATTCTCATCTCCCATTATAATGATGACAGACCTCTTGAGTCTTGCATTGATTTTTTTTGCTTTTTCTATTATATCATAGAATTTGTCAATTTCCTCCTTACTGCTTTGTGATATTGAAGCAGTAATAACAGTATTAAGTCCCTTCTGTTAATATACCTATTTCAGTAGTGTATTACCAGTGAAAGAATAATTCATGTGCACTTGTATATCAAAATGAAAATAGTCACAATAGGTAAACTTTGATCTGTAGATTAAACTGTAATTCACACTGTTTGGAACTTTGACACAAAATTCTGATACTTGTTTCGGCACTTTAACGCGTGCCCTCTTCAGTCAGATGATATCTCACAGTGAAAGAGAAGTTTGTTTCAGTGTGCAGCTTATTTGGTGAAATTTGATCTTGTATTTCTTGAAGGATATATGTGTTGAGAAAACAGATTAGTTTCAAATGACCCTCAGAAATGTTAACATTCAGTATGCTTTTAATGATACAGCTTTTAACAGTTCTTTGTTTTATGTAATTCTCTGTTTTATAAATAAGTTTATTCCTTTATTTTCTAATGCTATTGAGTACAAAAGACATCCCTAACTTGTAAATTCTAAAATCTTAATTTAAACACATTTTTCTGATCTGGGTGTATAAGTATTTCACTTTGGAAATAAATGTTACCTACCCTTCCAAAAAACAATAAATTTTCAGTAGCATCTTATCATCACAAATTTGTATCAGCTGTGGTTGTCACATGACTTGTTGATTTACATATTCAAAATCATTTTAATGCAATGTACTCAACCATTTGTATATCCTTAAGCAACTTTGTTTCAAAGAGTAGGGAGAAAATTGTATCTACTACTTGCAGTCAGTTTTCTAAACTTTATTGAACATGTTACAATTCGAAGCTAAGATAACATGAACTTTAACTAGGAACTTTAGATGTATGTTTGGTACTTAATGTTTTACACCTGACATTTCTGAACAGCTAACAAAATCTTATCAGCCGAACATGTTCAGATAACTTGGTATCTATATTACAAAGCCTGTAAGACCAAAATTTATGTTTGTCTTTTGCAAATTGTTATATCTTTATATTTAAGGAGTTGAATAAAATTAAATTTGTTTCTCTCTTTTTTTATATTGTATTATAGCAACATCTGAGTGGATTGAGTTTTTTTCCAATGCTGGATTACCAGCTTCAGTGGCAGCAAACTATGCTATTACCTTTATAGACCATCGGATTAGAACTGACATGTTGACAGACCTTACAAAGGAATACTTGTACGACATGGGAATCAAGACGATGGGGGATGTGATTGCTATTTTGAGACAAGCAAAAATAGTGCATGATCAGGTTCGTATTGAAAGTTTGAACATGATTTTTTATCCTTAATATATTTTCTTGTCTGTGTATTTTCTCCAAATTAGGAGAAAGTTTAAATTACAAACTTCTCTTATTTTGCTTTATCAGTTTTATTTGTAAGCATATATATTAAAATTGTGTTACTCTTATACATTTACTTTAGATGAGTATCTTGCATACAATTTAATCTGTAAAATTTGCCAGACTAGACAATTTTTGTGGTCCCTGCTTGAGAAACATTGGACATAGCATCATGTAACTTGAAAATTTGTTTACACTGAACTGTCACAACTTCTGCTAGGTAATATAAAGCTTGTTTCAGTAGTTATACACAGTTCAAAGAGCATTAGAACAATATAATCAAATTAAGTGAAAGCAGTTGTGAAAAGTTGAGATAAATAATTGCAGTTGTTTGTTACAACTT